TATGTATGTATCTATGCATCTATCTATTTATTTATCTATCTATTTATCTGTATCTATCTATTATCTATCTATCTATCTATCTATCTATCTATCTATCTATCTATCTACCTACCTATCTAACAGCATGTCTTATTTTTAGGACCTTCTGTAGTCCCAGTGGCCAGGTCTTAACTCATAGTCTTACTTATACTTGAAGCCCAAGTTGAGTAAAGCTACTTAAGCATCCCATGACCAATTTTGCATCTGTTCAGTGAGACTTGTAATACACAGTGTCTTGGGGTTAATCTAGAATTAAGTCAGCTCCTATACACACCATGCTTAGTGTCTGACACAGATTACAATATATGTTCATTTAAGTAGTGCCGAAGACCAGACTGACAAAAACCAGAACTGGGTGCTGGCTCTCCACTTCAACAGTTTGTTTCTTGTGGTTTTTATTTTCAGAGTTCTCAGGGCCTCCTCCAGCACCTCTTAGCCATGAATATCATATCATAATCCTCCAGAGATCACATCTCCAAAGTGTCCTCGTTCACAGAGCTCCTAGCTTCACTCACAAGCCAGTCCTGTCTCCCTTAATATCGCCAGCACCTATCTGGACCTCAGCTTGGAATTCGGAGTGGCAGACAAGCTGAGGTGGCTCAGAAGGTTGGGCAGAGACCGGGAAGGCAGGAGAAAGAGTGGAGGAGCCCCAGTTGGGGAAGGAGGGGGTGGAAGCTCACCATGACCTTGCAGTCAAGAGGGCAAAGGCCAGCTGTGAGGAGCTGTGAGTATTAATCTGGGGTTGCAGGCAGATCAAACCTGCATTTTAGAAGTGTCACTGTGGGCTACAGGAGTCAAAAGCTGACGGGAGGGTCAGTGGGCAGGGGATCAGGGGAGTGCTATGGCTCTCATCCTGGTGAGTTAGTACCACAATAAATCTAGGGCTGGACCTAAAGGGAAGGAATATTAATAAGCAAAGGTACAGACTGAAGAAGCAAGTGTATAGGTTTCGTGGGTAGGCTATATGGCAGACTGGGTGAGATACAGGTGGAGAGCCCAGAGGAGCAATCAAGGCAAGGATGGCACTGGCTTGGTGCTCAAAACTACCTGCAAGCCAGAGTGCCGCTGCCAACGTGAAAGTTAACAGAGTGACAGAAAGTGACCACAGTGGTTGCAGCTCCTGGGCAGGGACCAGAAAATGACATATCAGTGATGGCAGGGCACTTGGCATCACATGCAGTGAGCGTCAGTATCGTTAGAAACAGAGGAGAAACTTCCTGCCATTCACTGATCTGTGGAGTTTCTGGAGCTCAAGTCTTACACCCAGCCACGGGCCTGGAGCCTGACTCACAAAGAAGACAAACAGATGTGGAGCATAGTGTGATGTGTGTGTGTGTGTGTGTGTGTGTGTGTGTGAGAGAGAGAGAGAGAGAGAGAGAGAGAGAGAGAGAGAACAGAGACACTAGGTAGGATCTTGGAAGTGTTAACAAGGAGCAGGAGGGGGGTGGCTTGACAGGCAAGGCACAGAGACTAGAGTGACTATG